GGAGGGTGAGTTGACTTTGGAGTACTGTTATTAGGATGGTAACCTAAAGTGCATTCATTATTCCCTAATACTCCATTGTTGTATGAGTGAGTGAATATTGTTATTACACTTTCAGCAATCTAGTGAGTGAGTGAGTTTAGTTTTACGCCACACTTCGGCAATATTCCAGCTATATGGTGGCGGTCTGTAAATAATTGAGTCTGGACCAGACAATCCAGTGATCAACAACATGAGCTTCGATCTGCGCAATTGGGAACCGATGACATGTGTCAACCAAGTCAGCGAGCCTGACCACCCGATCCCGTTGGTCGCCTCTTACGACAAGCATGGGTTACTGAAGATCAATATTCTAACACGGATCTTCACGGGTCTTCAGCAATCTAATGGAAAGGGACACCAAAGTGAATGAATGAGTATGGTTTAATGCCATTTTTAGCAATATTTCAGCAATATCATGGCAGGGGACACCAGATATGGATTTGCATAATGTACCTAAGTGGAAATTGAAACCAGGCCTTTGTCATGACAATTTTATTATAGTTACAAGCACTTTAACCACTGGAAGACATCAGAAATAGACTTTATCTAAAAGACACCAGAAATAGGTTTTTCACATTATTCCCAAATGGGAATCAAACCCAGACACAACATTAGTTATAAATATGTAACATGGAAATTTTTAGTGACGTACGCTGACTTTAGGCTGAAAACCGACCTCTGAGCAGGTGTTGATAAATTGTGGTTGGTATACAAAAGTACAGACATCAGCAGCATGTAACCCCTTGACATGACTAGGCATATTACAGAGGGAAACATGATGCACTGTATTGTGAGCGTTGCGTGTTGCAGTGTGTGCTGTGCATGCTGCAGTCTTTATGATTATTGATCAGCATGCCTTGTTTGTGTCATACGTTTGACATTAGTTTACGTCAGGCAGTGAAATTAGTTTACGCCTATACAGAGAAAACTTTATGCATTCATGTGATATACATATTTCACATTGGATTGACCAATTTATGGTAGAGTGGATAGGGTGTCTGCCCAGAAAGTTGAAGCTGTGTTGTACCAAAGACTGGGGTGGTGGGGTAGCCTAGTGATTAATATAAAGTGTTCACTTGTGACACAGAAGATCTGGGTTTGATTCTCTACATGGGTACAATGTGTGAAGCCCATTTCTGTGTCCCCTGTTGTGATATTGCTGGAATATTACTCACTCACTCACTCACTCACTCACTCACTCACTCACTCACTCACTCACTCACTCACTCACTCACTCACTCTCTCTCTCTCTCTCTCTCTCTCTCTCTCTCTCTCTCTCTCAAAGACGTTAAAAGATGGAACTTGTTGTTTTCCTGCCTGGTGCTTAAAATTAAAGGAATAAGAGGACTTGTCAGCTTGGATGATAGCATGCTGCCTGATATCACAGTGGGTTAAACTATTAAACGGTATTACTCTGGACTGGTATGTACTGCCACACTCACACATGTTCCTGCATGTCATTGTATAAGAACAATATTCCTGAACGTGACATTAAACCCATCTCAACTCATAGTGGAGCAGGGAACTTGCTGAAGGATAGCACATGTTAGCAATGCTTCACTGGACATATTGTAATCTGGATCTGATAAAGGTTGTCAATTTCAGAATTAATCCTATGCCACAGCCACAATTCTCAACGCATGTGATTGTAGTCTTATCAACCTCATGATCTGTGTAGTAATTGTTGGTATATCTCAGAAATCTTGGTTTATATTTCAAATCATTTTTGTATACATGGTGTAGATTATCATTGGTGATTGTTAGAGACAAGGAGGTCACAGTGACCTTGTGTCTCTGTGGGAGAATGTTAATAGAGCTTGCAGTTGTTAAGAGAAATAATGATTTGCAGTTATGAAGAATAATCATGTAAGAATAATTTGAAAGAAAATTTAGTTATGTTAGCATACGTCCTAACCATTGAACAGTGTGCATGTGGATAAGCATGGTAGACCTAATCTTTAAGAAGTTTTCAAATTCCTCGGAAGATAAAGTGAAGAGGTTCTATTGGCTGGTGTTATTTGGACATAATTCAGTGGGATGTGCAGCAGAATCTAAACTATGCAGGGATTCAGAAGATTATCAAGATGCTACTGGTGGAGGTCAGGGTGAACCAGCAACTAGTGCATGCCTTGTATGCTTTCATGGCTGTGTTGACTTAATATTTATTGAAACCAGTTTTAAACAGTATCGGAGTGACATTGACTAACCTATACCCATCCCACCTCCCACTCTCTTCCCACACAATATGTACACTTACAAAACACACAGTGTATTTCGGTCAGTAAATATTTTATGAGATAAAAATTTAAATCCACCAGACTGAGTGATAAAGTTTAATGGCAGTATAAATACTTGTAGTGAGTTATGTAGATAATTGAGAGTTGATACGTCAATGTCATTGAACAACAAATATTTGATTTATACGGCATATTATCACAATATGGCTGAAATATTGCTTATGTGACTTCAAATGTTAACTCACTCACTATATGTGGATGAGGCACTATAAAAGTACTCTTATTATTATTATTATTATTATTATTATTATTATAAGGCATATTCATCAAAAGCACATTTCAGTCTCACATTAATATCCATAAAATATATGACACAAATGTCTAGAGCCATGAAACAGAATTAAGTGATTTATTGGTAACATCAGATTAAGTATTTGCTAAAAGGTAACCCAAATCTGTTACTGTGATCGAATTACAGTTTCCCATTGATGTACTTGAGACTATTTCAAGATGTAGTTGTCTGTGTTTACTGTCAAGGGGGGGCGGTGGGGTAGCCTAATGGTTAAAGCGTTGGCTCGTCACGCCGAAGACCCGGGTTCTAATCACCACATGGGCACAATGTGTGAAGCCCATTTCTGGTGTCCCCCGCCGTGATGTTGCTGGAATATTGCTAAAAGCGGCGTAAAAACCAAACTCAGTCAGTCAGTACTGTCAAGGGACTGCTAGAATATGTCCAGTAAATTGGGACTGTCATGTACACCGTGAAGTATGTCATGTACACCGTGAAGTATGTCATGTAAACAGAAAAGTATGTCATGGAGATATATACTCATACATACTTATTAGGAAGACTGACATGTAGGTCAGTTGTAACTTGTGAAAACCCCACTCAAGGGAGACAAGGTGTACTTCGTCTGACACATCTTGACCAATGTGTAGATTTGATTTAGAGATATATAAGTATCAGGTTTGTAACACAGGACTAAATTAAGAAGTTGGATAAAGTGCTGTCTGGAGATCTTGCATTGGTTCTGTATTACCAGCTTTAGTTTATGACATATGCTTGTTGTCAAAAGTTATGCAACATCTTAGTTTTATTACTTGACGTGTTACCTAAGCATTTTTCAGTGTTGGAGTAAAGTAAGTGAATGACAAGTGAGTTGGACTTAAGCCTCTTTTAGCAATGTTCCAGCAATATCACGCCAGGGGACACCAGAAATGGGCTTCACATATTGTACCCATGTGGGGAATCTGAACTTGTGTCTTCAGTGTGATGAGCGAACACTTGATCCACTAGGCTACCAAATACCTGTGTTGCAGTGAAAGTTGACAGTATTCCATGCTATTTTACATAGATGAGTTTTCTTTAAATTGGGTGGTTACACTGCTGTGCACAAAATAATGGTTTGGTACTTGTAATATCAACCATTGGTTTATCTGTTCAAGGTTATATCTAATTGTCACTGTTCCCGACAACATTTATTGATGCTTGCAGTATCACCCACTAGTTTGTCTTGTGTACCGGTAGGCTGTTGAAGTGAAGTTACAGCCCAATTATTATAAGATCTGACTTCGGCATCAAACCCCATTTACTCACTCACAGACTGCACATATAGAATTATATCAGTACATCACACTACAGGTAGTTGTGATCCAGTGATGCAAGCTTTGCTTAATCCTGTCAATCCCCTCATCATGTCTGTACAGGAGGATGGTGATAGATGGATCTAATTATGCAATGACAACCAGGTTACGTGACTGTTACAGTGACTGACTCACTCACTAGGTCACCTGTCATGCTTGTGTCATGTGCTATAACAGAGAGGGATCTGGGACAGTGACTAATGTCACGCTGACACAACCTGATGGCTGACATGCAGGACACATGGAGTTGTCAGCCATGCTTGTTTCCTGGCAGTCACATTCTTTAATACTTTCAAACTTGACAACGATACAGGAATCTGTATCGAAACGTCGCATGACCTGAATGAAGGTTGAGTGACTTTAGTTTTACGCCACTTTTAGCAATATTCCGGCAATATCATGGCGGGGGACACCAGAAATGGGCTTCACACATTGTGCCCATGTGGGGAATCGAACCTGGATCAACGCCTTAACCACTAGGCTACCCCACCACCTGAATAAAGAAGTTGTTCATCCATAAGAACTCCAACAACCAGGATGAGAAGAGTTTTGCTGTGTAAACCATAAAGTTACTGTTGATAGACAAAGTAGGATGCAATATTGGGTTGAGTGGAGCTGGCACTGTGCAAGTAGACATCTATCATGCATGGTTTTGTCAGCAGCTGAAGTAGCGTGACTATCTCTCACAAGTCTGGTACTTTTGATGAAAGTATTTTGTTATAGAAGTACAATTTCAATTCTAAGCTTTCAAATACAAATGGTGTGATTCTTGGTTATGGGTGAATGTTTTGACTGTGTGCTTCCTGAGCACAAAGAGCTCATGATGTTTCAAGATTGTAAAGGTGAAGGCTGTTTAGTTTGTTCAAAGTTCCCTGCAGAAGCAAAAAATCACTTTCAAAGTTGCAGATACCATCTGTGCTCCATCTTTTGTGTCCATATTCTTTGAAATAACATTAAACATTTATCTCCACAGTGTGTTTGACTATTTGAAATTGTGTATCTCTACCCAGCTGTGGGAGATCAGAATTTTATAATACGCTTTTGCTCAAGTCTCAATTGGTCTGTTGATTTCTGTTTCAGACCAGCGAGATGCTGTTCAGAAGAAGACATTTACAAAATGGGTCAATAAGCACTTATTAAAGGTGAGTATTACCGACAAGCTGTTACTTTAGCTACTGCACGAGTCTGGTGACATTTTGCAGCTCATCCATAGCACAGAAACATACACAGCGCCCCCTGTTAGCAAGCAGACACACCTTGAAATGGGGACGAAAACAGCTCTGGGGAGCCCTCTGCTATTTACATGAAACCGACGTGCAAACATGTCTGACTGGATGACGTTTTCCGTCGTCCTCATCCTCAACTCCTAGTCAGTTGCGAGCAGAATTTGTAATCCTTTCATGGTGGTATTGCGATTTACTCTGACCAAATATGGCTGAAAGGATTGCAGACCATTAGCCTGGATTTTGACGTTGGAATTGACGCTCATGTTGAAGTTGACATCTGACATTGAAGTCCTTTTTAGAGGACTTGAGTCACAGTAGAAACGGAGATGTACAATTTAAGACGACAAGATCTGAGTTTTGCGTATATATGTTTTTTGTGTGTTCAAATGTCAAACAAATAATCGTCCTGGGTTGTTTTAAGTTGTCTCGACAAGCGAATTATTAAAGTCGGGGGTTATGACGAATGCGGTGGGTTGATCTGCAGATTGCTAGCAACAAAGATGTTTTCATCTAAAGTCACCTGTAGCCTATCTCAGGTGGAATGTTCCTGTGGATGTCTATGTTTGTAACTGGTGTTTGTCAAACTGACGAAGGTGTTTTATCTTGATTTGAATTTGGCCTTTACTAAATCCAGCTAAATTAAATTTAATCCGAAATGTCAGTGCTAGCATTCCTTTTCTTGTTGAAGGATTAGTTTGGAGATTTGCATATTGATGATAATTTATTACATCTTAGTTAAAAGTATGTACATAGATACAGTTTAGTAAATATCATACATTTATGGTTGTTATTTTTTGTGTAAAATCCATAATTCATTAATTATCATATTCATTAATCCTTCCATCCCATCTACTTTTAGATCAGAGTATAATTAAACTGTATAAGAGCTCCTTAGAAAGAGTGAAACAAATATATGACAGTCCATATTTTCTCTGTGTACTTCACAGATTTCTTTCCTGATAATGTATATATTACGTTGTAACTGCTATGAAAAAGTATATAAACTGACCGTGTCTTTTTCCATATGCATATGAAAGGCAGAATACACAAATATGCTAACTAGTCAGTATTTCAAGGATCTGATTTTTGTATCGGCAGTTTTATGCAAGATGAACAGTGTACCAAACCTCCGATAATGAGTTGTATGTAAAACAGTCTAACCACTGCAAGAGGTATTCTCTAGAGGATGACTCACTCAGTACTAGGTGAGAGTGAAGCCCAATTATATCTGATCTACGCTAACTAGTTTGAGTCTGTGCGGGTATTAGCGTCAGAGGTCTGGATGTAGGTCATTCATGGGCACAGGTATATTTCACCTATGTGATAAATCTCTGAATCCGTTTTCTGGGCATTTCTGAATGGATGACGGTGGTTCTGCTGTGCTAATATGTTTCAAGCAGGGATTATTGGGAGTTGTTGCTTTCCTGTGAATCACACTTACTTTAGAATCCTCAATGCATCTTTGATGGTACCCACCTAACAACATACCATCAGTTTTAGGGTGGAACAATGAAACCCTCTTTTTTTAGATGTCCTAAATTGTTAACCCTCAGAAAGTTTTTGAAATATGGGATGTTTGTTTATTGTTTACTGCTGCACTCAGCAATTTTCCAACTGCATGAGGGGCGGTGGGGAAGCCTAGTGGTTAAAGCGTTGGCTCGTCACGCTGAAGACCCGGGTTCGATTCCCCGTATGGGTACAATGTGTGAAGCCCATTTCTGGTGTCCCCCACCGTGATGTTGCTGGAATATTGCTAAAAGCGGCATAAATCCAAACTCAGTCAGTCAGTCAGTCCAACTGCATGACAGCAGCCTATAAATAATGGAGTCAATCCAGTGATTGACATCATGAGCATCAATATACGCAGACGGGATACGATGACATGGATCCACCAAGCCTGGCCACCTTGTTAGTTGCATCTTATGACAATCATGGTTCCTGAGGCCTAAAAAAAAGAAGCTTGTGGTTCCGATTTCCCGACCGACCCTAAATATTCCAGCCGAGACTAACAATTTTACTCACCACATAATAAATTAAATTTATTTTCTGACACATAAGTAATGTAAAAATATTTTGCAAAAAAACCCCAAACCCCTACCTACCTACCCTAGTTCTGAAATGTAGGAAATCGGAACCACAACATCTATTTTTTTGGGCCTGAAGACCGATTCTCACCTTGGTTTTTCTAGGTTGAAATACGTGAGGTGCTCCTGTATCATAGATAAAACTGAAAGGTTTGATGCAACCAATTACAGATGTTATCACTGTGGCAGTGAGGTCAGTTAATTCCTATCAGGAAAACATGATCACAGAACCAGTTTCCTTTCATCTCCCCGCATCAGTCGTTTAGCGGTCCATTATGCTTTGGATTTGAGGAAGACATGTAGTCACCAGATGATAACCCTTGATTGTTTCAGTGAACATCATAAATGTGAGGGGCGGTGGGGTAGCCTAGTGGTTAAGGCGTCCGCTTGTCACACCGAAGACCCGGGTTCGATTCCCCACATGGGTACAATGTGTGAAGCCCATTTCTGGTGTCCCCCGCCATGATATTGCTGGAATATTGCTAAAAGTGGTATGAAACCCAACTCACTCACTCACTCACTCAATGTATCAAGTATTATATATTGATGCTCATGCTCTCACCCCTTGGTTCAGTTGGTTGTGATTGAATATCTACAGTCTGAAATATTGCTGACTGCGGCATAAACGCTGTTCAGTTCCTGGCAGCGCCAGGTCGTGCAGTGTTACCTGTACAGGAATGCTGGAGTCATTAACATGATTCATCATCAACCAAAATCAATATACCTCCAGTTATTACGGAGACAGCGATTGACAAGTAGTTTTGATTGCCATAGATTGTAACATGGTTTGACCTGGCAGCACTTGGGAGAACCATTGGCAGTTACCACACAGCTCCTAAGGCTAAGTGGGTGATGGTGGTCAAGTAGGGCTGGATATTTCACTTTTATTTTTGTGGCGACTGTCAATGCTATTTGAGGCGAAAACAGTTCTGTCAACAACATCGGTCTGGCAAGCATGGCCCTGTAATTGGTCGGTTTAATGGTTTGATTGATGTAGGATTAGCTCAGTGTTTGTTCACAGACCTAGGTATTGTCCTCATCATTAGGTCACTAACTGGTCACCTCATTCTTGGATATTTGCCAAAACGTGATCAGAATCGTTGATCTTGATTCCAGCAAAAGGTTCCGAAACTAGAAATGATTTTAATAACTGAATATGGTTATGGTAAAATTGATAAGATTTATTAAAACAGCTTTTATTTATAAATAGTTGAAATGCATTGGCATAATGACAGCTGTATAGTGACTGTTTCTTTATAAAGATATCATTGTTGACATCAATATATTTTGTAAAATCATATGTATCTATATACTAAAAAATAAATAACTTTATTTTATACCAAAAAACATTAACCGGCTGCGAAATGAATTGCTTGTCAACCTTGACTCCTGGATCAGCGATTTTGGCAACTACGAGGCCAGCAAGCCGACCATGAAAGAATCTTGATTCGCCCCGGGCAACACAATGTGTCTCCTTTGGTATGCTATCCAAAGAAGTGCTTACTGACTAATCGGGCATAAATTAACCACTCTAGGGTACATTTAAGTGAAACTTTGTTATTGTATTATGCTAGGAGGAGAAAAGGTGTTACGAGTGTATGCATATGATGTATTGGCAACACAGAGTTTTATTGAAACAAATTTTGCCGAGTTGTCATGTTGCCTTTATATAGTTTGAGCACAGATTTGCCCCTTAGGCATTGTTCTGTTCCCTGAATTAGAAAAAAAATATATCTGTAGATGAAGGTTTGAGTGGCTGTATTCCCTACTGTGCAAAAAGTTGGGTCATTTTTATAATAGAAAGTTTTCAATGTGTCAAGGATTCATTATTTACACTGCAAAGATTATTGTATTGTATTTTACTGTACAGTTTATGGGTGAGTCATTATGAGAGGGTGTGAAACGAAAGTTATCTTCCAAGAAATGTCGTGTTTTATAGTGGTAAACTGTTCTTAGAAAAGGGTTTTCCTGGTATGATCCAAATTTGGGTGTCCGGGTATAAGCGAACCCAGTCATTCATGCATACATCCCTCCTGACACAGTCAAAGTGTGTATATCCCCGAGTTTGTGTGATTTGGAAGGGCTTACCTAGGTGTAAATATTGGCTATATCTGATACGGCTTATCACAAATACATGGCTTGGTTACCAAGATATGGCGACACGTGGGTCAGGCTTTTTTTATCTGAGTAGGGTATGTATTGTACCTTGAGGTAACCCAAGATTGGTGATCTATGAATCATAAATTTTGATGTGGTAGCTGGTTATAAAATCATCCAAGGGTCATAAAGTCCTTTTAGCATGTTTAATGTCTTAATTCTGTTGGTGGTTGGACGGTGGGGTAGCCTAGTGGTTAATGCGTTCGTTCATCATGGCGAAGACCTGGGTTTGATTATATTCTGTTGGTAAAAGGGTGGTGGGGTAGTCTAGTGGTTAAAGCGTTCGCTCATCACGGCCAAGACCTGGGTTTGATTATATTCTGTTGGTAGAGGGATGGTGGGGTAGCCTAGTGGTTATAGCGTTCGCTCATCACGGCCAAGACCTGGGTTTGATTATATTCTGTTGGTAAAAGGGTGGTGGGGTAGCTTAGTGGTTAAAGCGTTCGCTCATCACGGCCAAGACCTGGGTTTGATTATATTCTGTTGGTAGAGGGATGGTGGGGTAGCCTAGTGGTTATAGCGTTCGCTCATCACGGCCAAGACCTGGGTTTGATTATATTCTGTTGGTAAAAGGGTGGTGGGGTAGTCTAGTGGTTAAAGCGTTCGCTCATCAAGTCAAAGACCTGGGTTCGATTCCCCACATGGGTACAATGTGTGAATCCCATTTCTGGTGTC